TGATGATGATGAACCTAGAGAACTTGAACCAAAACCTGAGAACCCCAAACTCACCGAAGGATCACTGCCATGACCTTCGCGGCCTCTTTCGAGCTCCGCAGGGCTGAGAGCACGCCGAGGGCGCGCGCCCACTCGTAGCCCTTCTCGCAGGCGCTCGCAGCCTTGCTGTGAGTTGAGGGTTCCCAAACTCCCCGGAATTGAACCGTATAAACCGTCACGCAAACACACATCCACCACTGAGTCTCTCAAAGCCCAATCCAAGAAGCCGCGTTGTGCCCGACCACACTGTTCTCCAGAGCGTTCGAGCCCATGCCTGTTGGCTATGTGGGCAGGGATTCAGGTTTTGTGGGCTTTGGGTGTGGTTTCCGTGACAGGCTGGAAGTGAGTGGCTCGCAGGCTCGCATCACAACCGAAGCTCGAGATCAGAGAAGCAGCTTGTGGGGAAACATGACAAGGTGTGAAACATTCAAACGATCAACGTGCTGGCTGGCAAAAAATACGGGCATCAAGCTCTGCGGCTTTAGGGCCACGGGCTGACCAAGCACAGTCAAGCGGCTCTGAAGCAGCGTGAGTGCTGGGGCCCACTGTGAGCATTTCTCCTCAAAGCACACAAGCACATGTGGAGTCTACCTTCGGGGTACGACGGACCGCAAAGCAAACAGGAGGATTCGGGAAAGCCCCATTTGGAGCGCACTTAGGGGATCCTGGTGTTGCCATGGTTCGGGGGAGTGACTGGATCGAGGTCCGTGCTTCAAAGCGATCTCTGGATAGACCTTGATCCTAAACCCCAAAGCCTCCAAGCCCAAAACCCTAGGCATTGTAGGGGCTGTGGTTTTGGTTGCAATATAACCAAACGGTGACTATAAGGAATTACGATTAATTCAAACCTCTCCATTAGCCAAATTTCGGCAGCGCTGATGCAGGCAGCAACACTGACGACGTCCGGCTGAAGCTTCGCCTCAGGGCGGGGGGGGGGGGGGGGGGNNGGCATGGCAGTTTCAGAAATTAGGGGGCCATCTATCATGTAGGACGCTAGTGACAGGATCCTGATTATCACCAGCCGAAGCCTGCTTTTCGGATACTCCCACATCTGGTCCTGTATCTTGGCCGAGCCTCGCTGTCAAAGCCTCACAAGTCTTGGCATGTACGGTTTGGTTTACCATTCCCAAGCAAATCCCTGCATCTAGCATCTTCTCAACTCTTCAGTTCTTCAACCATGAAACCTTCAAAAGCAACCCTACAACACATGCCAGAGGGCCTCAAAGCCTACGCCCTGCACACCCCAGGCACTTCGTACCACGGAGCCTCTTTGGCCTCTGTGAGAAGCAGCAGCGCTAGCTGCCAGCGATCGCCCTTCTCGCAGGCGGAGCAGGCGGCCTCGCCGGGCTTCGGTTCTTCTGGGGGACCCTTAAAGGGACCCTTGG